TATATCATACATATTATATTAGTTTAAGTGTTGTATTATTTTTTTTTAATCAAAGATGTGTTTCCAAGGTCAGGATAAACCTTAGTCCTAATTATATGGGTAATTTTATAAAGGTATACCTATTACAACACATATTGTCGAACATGATTGTCTTTATACAAACCTGTTTATAACATTTATACATACTGTGCACTGTAAATGCAATGTATAATATATATTATATATTAACTCAGGTTCTATTAAACCTTTCATTTCACTTGTGGTTTATTTTAGTTATTTTAAAAAATATGATGGTTTCATACAGCTTTTTAGCTTTTAACAGCTTCTTTATTTTGTACTTTTCCATGGTCTCGCATTTCCTGTCAGTAAAACATATTTAAACTTTAAAAAAAAAGGATATTAAAGGTGGGGTATGCGAACAATCACACAGCAAGTAATGTAACTTACATCAGCTATGTTGTGGATTACCAAACTGACGCTAAAGTTGCTGCTAACATACAGAGAGGACGAGACTGTCTCATAGAGCCAGCACACCAGCTACAGACAGCGGTACTCTCAACCCTCCTGTTACTATAGCTAACACAGAAAGTAAGCTGAATGTCCGTGGTCATTTAACGCTACCTGACACACAAATCCTGGCTGGAATAGTGTTGTGTGGCTCGATCCACTTTCTGATTTACAGAGCCATTTACATACAGAGAAGGGACGGGCTGAATTTGACAAAAAAGTAAAAAAATAAGGTGGATTGGATTAGAATCGCGAATCTTGAATCCCAACCACAACCTTCAAGCAATACTGTATTTTCCATCTCGACAATGTGCAGGGCAGATGAGGAAAAAAGAGCATTGAAAACATTATTCAGTCCTCTAATGAATAAAACTTAGTATAATATTCATATGTGGTTATCAGTTCAACTTATCAATCTGCAGTCTGTATTACTACAACTAATAATACACTGAGTGCATGTTAAATTTTTGTTTGACCTTTCTTTAAAAAGGACAGTCTCCAGAAATTGAAATGTGTTTTTCAAGGGAATTCTGGCCAAAATGGCAGCATAATTACACAAAGAACCAATAGTCACAGAAGGTAAAAGAATAAAAAAAAAAACTGTATGTGAATTCAGAAAACTGTGTGAGCAAAAAACAAAAAAATCACAAAGAAAAATGACATGAAACCCTGAGTGATGCGGCCACAGAGAGCAGCCATTCTTCCCTTCTTAAGAAGAGAGGGACATCTCTAAATTGAGGTCTGACAGTGGGATATTGATTGAGCTGCGAACCTTGGACACCACAGAGCCCACATCTCTCACTCGCCATCTCTGTGTGAAGTATTGTTGTGGTCCCACTTTATGGAGCGGACTGACCTTCAACTTGCAAGAACATACTGTAGAACAAAACCAATAGATTTAGTCGATCCGTGAAACAATAAGATGGGTTATTATATCAGAAAGTAGAAGCTTCATAGAGAATAATATTTCTCAGAACATCCGTCTGCTTTTGTTTGGAAAAAAAGGGACAAGGAAATGGCAGGTAGAAATAATAATAACCTGAAATTGGTACTTAAACTGAAGAGTTGGTTAAAAGTCCATCAGAAGGATTTTACATTGAATAAAATCTATATCTGCAGACCATTACAAAGAGGGTGGCCAAGGTTGAGCCACAGATTGAAGTAGAGTCACACACAAATGCTGTAGATCTAAAAAACATCAGTTTGGCTATATATGTCACTGTGTACCGAAGACATTGTTTGTCTAGATATATTTATGATTTTTTAGTCACATAAAGAATCTTGTTTGGTCTCAGTTTTTGCTCGGGGGACACCGTTTTATTGCCTTATTATCCCAAGTGTAACCTGGTCAGCAGCCAATCATGTGATTTTTACCGTGACATATGATATCCAGCAGTACGCTGGAGGGAAGGGAAGCCCAAAAGTGCTTTGTTTTTGAGATACCCCTAACAAAGTTGTAAGAAATGTTTTTTATATTCTCCAATGTCTCCCATATATGAAATGTATTCTTCTTTAATTGACATTGTATTAATGGGGTGTGTCAATAATCTAAGTAAATTAAAACCAGGCCAAATGGGGATGATACACCTGAACTCATGTAATGTCATAATGCAAACATTGATTAATTCCAAATTTGGTCTGGACATGGGCAGGGGTTTCCCCTATATGTCTGAAAAACAGAATGTGAATATCTTGATGTATTGAGGAAATACAGAACTACAAACACATAAGTACAATAGGAAGAAATATCAAATTCTAGCTTCTATGATGAATGTATTTATTTACTTTAAGGTAGCTTTGGTTGGGATAGTCCCAGAAACACCAACCAGGGTTGGCTAGAAAGGTGCTGAATCCAGTAATATATAATGTGTAACTGTAGCAGGTATGATCAGTGGTCTACATTAAGAAATGTGATCTCAAAATTAAATGGCCATACATCTGAGTCTTAATACCCAAGCTCATAGTTACTGGATCTAGGTGAGTAACCTCCATTCTGAGGAAGTGTTGAGTCCCTATAAGTAGGTCTAGACTTACTGTATTTGAAAAGTGTCCTGAGAGAAGTTTTGTTATGAATTGGCACTTTGCAAATAAAATTGAATTGAAAAATTTAAATTCTTAAATGTACAATATGTAATTTCTGCCACTTGGCGGTTCATCGTTCAGGAGGTTTCTACCACGAGCCCAATTATCCACAGAGATCTCCTTATCTTCAAAACAAACCGTCCGCCAAACATTTTAACATGAAGCTGCTTTAGTCTGTGCTTTTACCAGTTTTAATAAGCGGGTCAAAGGATAACAAGAGTGGAAGTTTATTTTGCTGTTAGTGCCTCACATACTTTATCTTATAAGCCTATGATTAAAGTTTTGTGATGTATCATTTTCCAAGATTTAAAGTGTAAACGCTTGTAATATGTTTCTAATAAAATAGGCCAATGCCAAACTCTGTCATACAAACACATTTTTTTGTCTTTTTATATTTGTGTTTTTTGATCAAACCGTGATTTTCTTTTAAAAATGGATTGTTAGTACGCAACCTTTGAACAAGGCTAAACAAATGTAACTATAAAACACGATTTTGAACAATGCTGAACTAATTTTAAGTATAAAACAGGATTTTGCTCTTCCAACAGAAACACTGAAAAATGTAGAGGTACTCCGGAAGCCCCTGAACCCTCTGACCCATCAGAATTACTCAAATCGTATCATGCTGTATGATAGCCATTCATCACTGTGGCCTATTGTTGAACACAAACTGTCCACCAACAGTGAAAAGTTTATTGTAACTGTGGATATCATCATCAATAGTTCTATCAAACCTCCTATCTTTTTCTATCTGTTGTCCTCACTTTCTTTTCACGCGCAGTAACAATGGTGAAGTTGGAGAGGAGATGGAACATTTCTTTCTTTTTAAGTACAGCTCCTCAAGGTTGGTGATCAGTAGCACCCTCTGCAGGCCATTGTCAAGTATTACGTAGATTGTAATGTGTTAAGACTTAGGCCAGTGATACCAATACAGTAGCAATAGAGGGGGTTTTTTTGTCCTATTTTATGGTTGAAGAAGGACAAAACACAACAGGTGATACAAACGTGACAGAACAAACATAAATTGAGGCAAGCTTTATAATACAAAGACATAAGAGAGGGTGCTAAAATGGTGTAAGTTTGTTAGGATGAGAGATTTGTGTGTGTTTGAGGTTGATAGACAGGAAAGCATTTAAAGTCACAGTTAAACTAAAAATATAATACATCAATAAAAGGGGGAGGGGGGGTGGAAAAAAGTGGAGGAATACTCCAAGTAATTGCAATGGTGGTAATAAATCGAAAGAAGCAGACAGATGTTAGGTAGAGGTGTGTATCTGTCAGTGGCCGATCGAGATCCCTGAAATGTAAATACATTTAAAAGAAGTTTAACCTTTCCTGAAATATTTTGTTTCAGTATCAGCCTGCTGTGTAGTCACATTCATGCACGTAGTGAGTACATACATCCATGTTTAGTAAGGCGCTAAAATGTGATGGCAAGATAGTAAGTGGAGGTAAAATGAAAGGCTCAAAAACACTTCAATCGTGGCTCCAAACAGCTCCATTCAGGATTCAACAGTCAACAATAAATACTCCTATTAGAATAAACCTGCCTCGTGTGTTGTGTCTGTCTGTATCTGAATAGGGTCAGACTACAATACATTATTTTACACAATGTAAAGATTTTAAGAAGTTTAAGTTTAACACTGATCTACACTATACGTGGAGGATAATAGTCATGGGTGTGATACCTGTGACTAAAGTGGTCATATTTTCTAAACCCACCTTTTGCCATTAGTTCCAAGACTTTAGAAAGACTCATTATCATTATTCAAGTCTCTTTTGAAGACTTACAAGCTATATTGTATTAAGTAGCTGGGATTCTTCTCTATATTGTACTAGTTTGGTTAAGTTTGTTTCTTAGTGGAAAAAGTATTCAGCTTGGTTTCTTAAGTAAAAACAGGAAGTAAAAATACTCAATTGCATGTTAATGTCCTGCATTCAGACTCTTAATTTAGTAAAATAAGTAGTATCACTAATACTGACACAATTTGCCTGAACAGTTGCTGTCCCATCATGCACCAGAGAGTCTAAAGTAGGTTGTTTTGTAATCACATGTTTGCAGTTGAGGACATTGGTCCCTTTTAGCTGAAGATTAACTATATATATTGATCTCGTTTGATCTAGATCACATAGCATTTATTAGTAGAATGAGAAATGGAGTATTACACTATAACATACAAATGCATTACCCTTAAATATTCCCCCAGACATGCAACAATTTACTTACGTTATAACACTTTAACGCCTCACGGGACATACAAATGTTCTTAGCGTGGATGCAAATTCCAGTGAAGTGATGAAAAGAAAGAAATGGCATGTTGATAAGAAATCAAAGGTCACATGGTATCAAAAGAGGTCAAAGCTCATGAGCAGTCTCCTAAATCTGTTGTAGCTGCAGAAAAGCCACAGGATAGGTCGGTCCATCTCAACACAAACGAGAAGCCTCCCAGTTGTCTCCCTGCTCTCCAACTGATGGTGTTTCATAACTGGAACAAGGTAAGAATAGTAACCACACGGTGCATTCAAACATATTTAATAATATACCAGAAATGATGAAACTCTGTGATATAGCAATACAACATTTGGTGTTCCAAAATCTCCCATAAACAAGGTTTATGACCTGTAGCTCTTTTGACGTCCTTGTCAGGCCAATGATTGACTAATGCTGTCCTATTTGTCTTCCCAACACGCTAAAAGGAGCCCAATAATATACCAGGAGGTACCTCGCTGAGTTAGTCAACTATGAGCTGCTAGTATAAGGGCCTCGCCATGGACCTTAACAAAGTAGCTTTTCTCCTGGGAGCCCTGCTCTGCACTGGTAAGATATAATGGCATCTTTGAATGATAATTATGAATAGTTCTGCAACTATATAATTGCTGCGAAATACAAAAAAGTAGGACAGACAATACTGTGCTAAACCGTGAGAGTGCCAGGGCAACCCTGTCCAAGTTGATTAAAAATGTTCTTTCAATGCTTTTTTCATCATTCAATCAAGCCGGGATGTATTAAGAGACACGTCTGGATGCACATAATACAGATTTTATTCACTTTGTGTCTAGTTTACATAGTTTGGAGGCAGCTCTGAAAGATTGGGAAGCAGAGAAGGTCAGAAACAGATTGAAAATAATCCTTCTGAAGGGGCGACACAAAAGCAAATTTCAAGTTCATCTGATTCTCATAAAATCTGTTTTGTTCTGTTTGAATCACATCAAAGCAATCACATTAAATGCCTGACAGTCTAGGGTTTTATTGGGTCATTGTATGTATGTATTTTGACACCTTCAACAACTCCACCTGCCTGACTGAGTTTTGTCAATGCTGCAGCAACTGAGGAGCTGAATACTACCTATACACAAATATCATATATGGTGTACCACAGGGTTTAATTTTAGGTCCTGTTCTTTTTTGTACATATGTCTACACTTGACTTAACAATAAGAAAATATGACAATATGAGTTAAGTCCGCTGCAGCTACCCAAATTATAACCATTTCCAGAAGAACCTTTTGGGGCATGATATCAGATTTTGAGGGAAGAGTTAGAATTAATATTGATACCACTCTAATGTTTGAAGCTACAGCTAGGTGATGCTTAGCTTAGCTTAGCATAGAATGAAGACTGGAAGAAGGGAGAAACAGCTATCCTATTGCACTTTTATATTGATTAAACAAATTAGACACAACGTGTTAATTAGTGAGCTTTGGAGGTGCTGGTAGGCAGATTTGTTTTATCTTAAACAGAGCCCGGCTAGCTGTTTCCTCCTACTTTCCATTTTTATGCTAAGCTAACCTACTGATGGTTGTCACATTCTTATTTTTAGCACATTAGAATGATCTTCTTGTCTAACTCTCAACAAGACAGTAAATTAGCATATCTCCCTTTAATCAGACTGTTTATGCTAGACTAACTCAGTCAAACTGGCAATATAGCAGTAAATTCTTAATTTCCCTTATTCTGTGCTGGTTTGATGAGGATAAAATGCATTTCACACAATTCAAAGTCTGCAACCCTCAGACTGATGCCATTCGGAGCAAAGACATTCATGTGATTAAACTTATATCCCAGAAACCAAATCTAAAGTCTAAAACAGCTTTACTAAATCATTAATGTATAAGTTAAATGATGATGATACTGTTTGGGAGTCCAAGTGTGAGAACAGTAAATATTCTGAAACAACAAAATGCTTTTGTGTTTTCAGTGAATCTGATATCTGTGACTCACCTATGAGCGGACAGTTCAAGGTTACAAGTGTAACAAACACAATGTGACACAATTCCCAATCATGCAGCATGTTATAAATCAAACAACTCTTGACCTTTTGTTCATTATAAAAACCAAATACTTACAATAGTCGACTTATGAATCAATATCTGAAGCCTTTAAAATATTAAATTATTTTAATCAGAACTTAATAGGAGGAAAATCAACTGTTATTAATAATTCAGTCTTTAATTCAAGCTAATTAGGTCAGAACAGTGGATTAAATTACAGAATATGAGGAAAATCTACATTAACATTTTATCATGTCTTCCATTTGAAAAGTATATATGAATAGCCTAACATAAGTTTGTGTATGTACAGTGTGTATGCCCATTGGTGGGTTTACATAGTTTTTCAATTTTCTTTAACCCTTTAACTAATTAAAGTTTAAAATGTTGCATGTTCTGTCAATAAAATTGTGTGTAGACTGTACAGTTCGAGATAGTTTAATAGTGTTAGTAAGTACTTATTTTTATACTTAAATGTACTACAAGGAGTTTTCATCAGGTTATGAACCAATCGTTAACCTACATGAACAAATTAAACCATCAGCAAGAGGCTTGGCTGTTTCTATGTAGTTTATTCTTGATGCCTGCCACCAATTCAGTCCAATCGAGTCAGATTTCCCCTAAAAATCAGACCAAACAAGTTGGTGGTAACACTACTGCATTTGTCCACAGGGGCCACCAGAATCAACAAACAATGAAATTGTCTTGTAGCTGCTCTAATTGTCTCCCCTTTATTCCTAGATTACTTTTCATTGTTTAATATTTGAAAATGTATGTTGAATTGATGATTTTATTTTATTTTTATAACTTTGTTCTTGTTGTTTATTGAGCTTGCCTGACATTCTTTCATTAATCCAGTGAATGATAATTAATGCTCTGTATATTTGACAATGAATTGATAGTTTTTGTCTCTGATTTCAGTTAGTGGTACTGAGGTGGATGGATACTCCAAAACTGAAGGAGCATGGATCCTCTCGCTGAAAAGACAACAGTACAGCGCAAACACCGCAGCTGAGTGTGCCATCAAATGTGATGCTGAAATAACCTTCACATGCAAGCAAGTTCACACTTTTATAATCCAAACTTTTTCATTTTCTCTGGTGTTATAATTTAACTTTTGCATTTAAGGCTCTGCATCCCAACCTGACACCTGCACTGTGTTTTCACAGGTCTTTCATATATATTGAAAAGGACCAAGAATGTTGGACAGCAGGAGCAAACTCTAAAACAGAAACTATCCTGCGCAGAAGCAGCACAGCTTTATATGAAAAAAATGGCAAGTCCTTTTGTCTGTTTATTACAAGTAACCTCTTAGTAAGTCTCTTTTATTGTATTATGGTGTCCTTACGTTGTCTATATGAAAGGTCTACAAGAGTGCACACGATGCCCTAGTTTACATGATATTTTTAAGCCTCCATTACATTGTGGTTAATGTTTAGCCTATGTTGCATGATCAGTGATGTTTGGACAGGAAACACTGCAAGGAGGTGATGCACGTTGAACACTACTGGGACTCAGATTTTGGGGATGAAACATCACTTTAGTTGGAATCAGATAAATGATTTACTCAAAGAATTGTCTGACTCATTCATCCACCAGAGAATAATTACATTATTGTACTCTGCAGTGCACTATACAGTGAACTTCTCAGCAAGCATTCCTCCAAAATACATAGCAGGTTGAATTTATTGAATCATAAAACATGTTGACTCTTTTGTGTATTGTCTAGGATACCTCCTGGAGTGTGTAAATGGAATAGGAACAGATTACAGTGGAACAAAGACCAAAACGAAATCCGGAAAGATATGTCAGAGATGGATGGCAAAATACCCACACAGGCCCAAGTGTGTATTCACATATTATGATGTCGATGTACATATTACATCACATCCTTTAATAGTCTTTATAACATTTATCTCAATGTGTCTGCTGCAGCATCACACCACAGACCAATCCTCTAGCAGGCCTGGAGTCTAACTTCTGCAGAAACCCAGATGGAGACAGTGGGGGACCCTGGTGTTACACCACCGACCCCAACACCCGCTGGGAACACTGCGAAGTATCGAGCTGCACTGGTAAAAAAAAAAATTTTATTGTGTTTATATTTTTAATATGTGTGTATGCTTGTACGCTTGTTGTGACAAAAAATATTGCTGCTTAAAAAATCATTTAACTTTCACAGTCCACCATTTAATTTTAATTTAAGTGTCCAAATTATTCTTCAAAGGCTTCAGCAAAAGAAAAATAAATAGTATGTGCAGAGCATTTACAAATTTTTTTCCTTAACAATCCAAGAGGATGAAGGTAGATCTCCTCCTATTTATCGATCAGTCGATCCCAGGCTTCAAACTAGAGATCATGCATGTTTGTACTGAGACTTTTCCTCTAGCGCCACCTTGAGATTGTCACTTATGGTTTTGAGTGAAATGTCTTCACAACTAATAGATGTATTGCCATTTAATGTGGTACATACATCCATGCCCTCCACAGAATGATTTGTAATACAATTTGACCAAATTTCTGCAAAAATAAAGACATTACCTTGAACTTCAGCTGTAGCAGTGTGTATGTATACACTCATACAACACACATGAAGTAAATGTATAGGCAATATACAGCAAAGCGGTATGCTGATGTGTCCATGCTTGTTCCTTTATAGAGGAGTGTATACACTGCAGTGGTGAGAACTACAGAGGGAAAATCTCCACTACAGAAAAAGGCTTCACCTGCCAACGCTGGGACTCCCAGAAACCTCACAACCATGGCTACAACCCCAGCGCGTAAGACTACAGAACAGCACATCAATCTATCAATTTAACACTTTTTAAAAATTAAATATTGTTTTTTTGTGCTGAGGATTTTCTTTTTAATGTTCCATTGATGTTTTCTTTAGACTTCCAGGGAAGTACCTGGAGGAGAACTACTGCAGAAACCCAGATGGAGACCCCCGACCATGGTGCTTCACCACCAGCCCATCCAAACGATGGGACTTCTGTTCCATACCCCGCTGCAGTAAGTCCTCCTATTTTAATATGCTTCTTTTACTTCTTCTAAAATGCCATATAATATATATATATATTATTTTGACATTGTTACAAAATGTTTTCATTAGTGTATAATCAGTAATCAAAGAAAAAGAACGTAAACAACACTATAAATATAAATATATTGCTGTCAGTATGAAGCTACCTTATCAAAGTATTCACTTATACATATTAAATAAGGCCCTATGACAACATTGGTTGAATAGGAACTATTTAGTCATTTGTATTTTTTCAGTCTTTTCATCTTCTGTACTCAGCGTCCGAGCCTCCTACCATCATCCCAGAGATCACCTGTACCACCAGTGAAGGTGGATCGTATCGAGGCACGATGGCTGTGACAGAGTCTGGCAAAACCTGCCAGAGGTGGTCGGCACAGACACCGCATAAACACAACCGCACGCCAGACAACTACCCCTGCAAGTAAGAGCAAATATGATCCAAAGATTTTGTTTTTCATAAAAGAGGGACCTATTCATTTGACATTTACTCCATTTTCCACTGTACACTAACTGCCTAGCCATCTAACCAAAAATCCATTCAAAAAACCCACTGACTTCGAGACAAGGGAAGCTTTGTTGGTGAGGAGGAGGATTTTAAATTCTATTCTGAATTTTACAAGGAGCCAGTGCAGAGAAGCTAATACAGGAGAAATATAATCTCTTTCCCTAGTTCCTGTCAGTACTCGTTCAGACATCCAGGTTTTTATGTCCTTAAGATATGCTTGTAATTGATAATTGATTAATTTCATCAGGCTTGGTCAATAGATATAACTGCGTATCATCTGCATAACAGTGAAAGTTAATGGAGTGATTCCTAATAATGTTGCCTAAAGGGAGCATATATAAAGTAAATAGAATTGGTCCAAGTA